GAAAGGACAGTGTGGAGAGGAGAGGTCATTGGCTTTCAGGAACAAAAGCAAATGTTTGGGAAGTATGAAAGAGTATCAGAGTGTGTGTGTGTATGCACAAGTAATAGAGGTAGGTTTGCAGTTGGCAGGACTGAGAGATACCTGGAAGGAGCTAGCTGGAGACTGTATCTCATTAGAGTTTTGGCTGCAGTTACCTGGCTGTTGTTTTTAATTAACTCACCACAGGGCAAGGGCCAATACAGTGAAGAAGCAAGGACTTCTCATATTGTGTGAGAAAAAGGAAGTGCATTCCTGTTAAAATGGGTATGCAGGTTGGCTTATAAAGGATACCCTTGCAGTAAATATGCTGAGGCAGCAGAACAGTTAATCGTATTTACTTGCTTTTAGTAACGTTTTTTATTCTTTTTATTATCTGACAGGTTGCATTGTGGTAGAATATGAAAGTCCTATTGTTCATGCAGCACCCAGCACACAAATAGCAAGAGTTGATCTTGGTGTTGAAGCTGAGGTGTTAAAAAAAAAAAAAAAGGCAAGCTACAAATCATAGCTAGATAGGAGCAGGGAACATAGAGAGCAATGATGAGAAATGCATCTCCATGTGCATGCAAACAGACACATGCTTCTTCATCAGACATCCTCTATTGTGAACACTGAATAAGAGGCAGACCTGAAGGGGGGCCCTGGTGACCTGATGTGTCCAAAAATGAAATTGAGTACAGTATGTGGAAAAATCCAAGGGCCAAGAAACACAGCTCTGTTTGCACCTCTTCTGCAGTTACCATAGAAAATTTATGGTGTGAGATTTTTGCTGGTATGTTTTTGTGCTATTATTTAACAGTAAGTAGTTTTCCACCTCTGAAATTTCCATAAGCCTCAAGATTAACAGAGTATTTCTTTTCTTGTCTTTGGGGCAGGGAGTTAGAAGTAAGCAGGAGAACAGTCTCCAGGATTCTGTGTCTGCAGACAGCAAGGAAGCACATCTGCTGCTTCAGAGCAGCTTCCCACCTGGCGGTGTATTTCTGCCCTCTGAACTGGGGTGCAGCTCACCTCACCCCAGCAAATGCAGGTGGAGTGTTGGTTTTTTTTCTTGCCTGGCTGATCCCAGGACTGGACCTGCACCAGAAAGCTGACTGGCTGCTCTCAACAGCCCTTTCCAATTTTGAAAACTTGTTTGCTGGTGACAGGCAGCACAGCAGGGCTTAGTAGCCAACCAAGCCAATACCAGCATTATCTGTGACTCAGGGCGTGGGGAGGAGTAGCTGTGCTGCCCAGAAGGTGGATGGGGCGAGTGGGTGGTTTCAGTAGGTTTCCTAAAATAACAAAAAGTATCCTGTGCAGATGCATGAAGCCAAGGCAGTAAAAATGGGTCTACACAAGACTGCCAGGACTACAAGACCCATCAGACAGCAAAAATTTCAACTCTCCCTTCTCTTGCCCCCCCAACTCCACTTTTCTGCCACATTTCTCTGGGCTTCTCCTATCTGTCTGTCAAATCTCTTTCTATTTTACTACCTTTAAGTAAGAAGATATTTTACCCCTGCGCAGTATATGCAGCAAATGCAACATAAACCTGTTTTCTGATAATTATGTTTTAGTAGATGTTGCTCTGAGTTGGTCTGTGAAGAATATAGTTTGTGAGTCCCACTGGAGTTATTAAAAGTATTCATAATCCTGCTTTCTTGTAAAATGGCCTAATGCATTCACACTGGGCTGCTGATTGTTGCTGTTTGCATATGCTGTTGTGCTGCTCATGGTATTATGCTTATTGGAGTTCATGTTGAACCTGAAGGATGCCTTGAAAAAATGTCTGCACATATGGGAGTTATCTAGTGGGAAGTGTGTGTTCTGTCTATTAACCCTTCATGATCCATGTTCTTGAAAAGCTGACGTGTCCGTTCTGCCACTCATGGCTAATGGCAATGTTGTGCAGAATAGTTTCATTTCATGATGAGGTGGAGATGGCTCCAGTAGAGAACCTGGAGTGCTGACTCTGTGATTTGTTTTCTGTCAACCCCTAGGTGACTCTTGCAGCAATAAAAATACTATCACTGATCTAGCTATCCTGCCAGACTTTATAATAATGTAAAGTTTAAAAGATTGGTGGTTTGCATATAATTTCATCTGTGTTTATTGAAAATATTGACCTGGTCACCCTCTTCCACCCTCAAACTGTGCAGAGGGATGCCCCGTTGAGCTCTGTTAGGATTATCAGTGATTTAAAGCAGAGCTTTCTGATCTGCTTTGGGCTGATGGAAAACAAAACTAAAATTACTTCAGAGAAGTCATACAAGAAATAAAAGTGCAGCCTTGTGGCCTGTGAGTTAGATCTCAGGCTTCCTTCTCAAGTCAATACAAGTTTTGTAATGTCACCCAGGACCGGGCCTAAGTATCTTGCTTTGTCTGCTTTCCAAATATGAGAAGGAGGTTCATGGGCATCCACAACCTTTCTGACATAACATGCTCTCATATTTTGATATGTGATGATGATGTAGCATTTGAAAGCATGTCTGTTCTCATTTGCCCTTCTGGAGGAGTGAAGTAACCTGGAAGCAAAAGGGAGCCAAATAAGTTAACCGTTTTTCTTATAATACAGCTCAGGCACTAGAATGAAGAATATAGTGCCAAAAGGATGTACTTCAGGATACAGGGCCCTTTTTCAATTAAAATTGCTCTTATTTGAAAAAAAAGAACAAACAAACAAAAAAAAAAAACCAAAAAAAAAAAACCAAAACACAAAAACACCAAAAAACCCCACAACAAACCACACCTCTTTTATTTCTCAGAGGATTAACAATAAAAAGCAATAAAAGGTGCTTAATGACTTACACTTCTCTTTTCCAGTCTTTCAAATCTGGAAGGAAACCAGGCCATCTTGAAAAAAGAGATCCCAGACTTTCACAATACACGCATCTGTCTAAAGGGCCATTGCCATGAAAGTATTTACAGCTGCACTGTTATCCCGCTCTATCCCACAGTCCCAGTGGAGAGCAAGGCCAGAGCACAGCAGTGGGAAGCTCGGCAGCTGTTGAGCAATGCTTTTTACAAGTAAAGATTCTGCCACACTATTTGTAGTCTGGTAAACTCAAATGAAAGCAGGTTAGGAGTGAAAGTGCAGCCTTGAGACAACTAAGAATAAGCCCTTTGCCATTTGGGGTAATGTTTCTTTTGAAATCCTGTGCGCAGTATAAGCAGTGGTGAAGTATTTCTAAATTTTCGGCTTGCCATGCTTCAGTATTAGCTGAGTCCTCACTTCTGTGGTTTCCCAGCAGCCTAAGACAGAATGTCTGCTGTGGTCCACTCCACCCTCCTGCTTGGCCCATGTATGCCCAATTTTCTCCTGCAGAGGCTTGTTGGACTCTGCTGAACTGTCTCCATGCACTAGTGAGCAGAAGACTAGCCTTAAGAAAGTAAACAGTTCTTTACTGGGTCAGTGAGTTGAACTGATCAGATCACATCTGGGAGAGGGAGGGAAGAGTTTCCTTGTAGTAGCACTGAGCTTGCTTATTTTTGAGAAACCTCACCCTTCTATTTAAAGAGTGATTGAGGGGTTATCAGGAAAGGGTTTACTTGGTGTCCTATTCAAACACTGTGAAATGCATTCATTAGCGCTTGAGCAAACTTGTCCTCTTTAAAAGACCTGGCTTCCACCATTTACTCTTGGAGCAGTAGTTTTGTGTCAAACAGATTCTGCATCTTCAAGTTTGGCTCTTTGATTCTCCTGTTTAACTCTATGCCACATAGAGGTGTCTAAGGTGTTTTATATTTGCTTCTTTTGTTCTGACCATCAAATGGTAGCATTTTTCTCTTCCAGATCCTTTCACACAGTGCTCTTTTGAGATGATCCCTGCTATCACATGTTTTGGAAGAGGTGGTCTCTCCCCTCTCAGTGCCCCATATGCCCATTGTTCAGAGCACGGGCTTACAAACTGTAACCAAAGAAAATGCGTCTTGTCATCTGTTGCAGTGAAAATAACTTCTCTCATATGAGAGATCCTTTTATCCTGACCACTTGAGGTCAGAAGGTGCTTTCAAAAAAGAGTTTTGTTTAGCCTGATTACTACTGGCTATGTTGTGATTTGTATCTCAGTTTGTCCCGTGCTTCAAACTCATATTATTTTTCCAGTGGTGGTGCACAGTATCAGTAATTATAGAGTGATATTTATTGTTGAGATGGCTGTAGTGATGCATCTGCTAAAGGCTCTCAAATAGTGGGAGTTTGGAGTTGTGCTAGACGGTAGTGTTGCTAAGTAATTGTCACTTATATCCTTTCTAGGACCTGCACTTCTTCTGAAATGGGCGATAGCATCATTATTCAGAAAGTATTTACTCTTTCACATGATGGGGGTGGGGGGAGGTGAGATAGTCACAGGGAAGGGAGGTCTATTTAGCAGCTAGTGAGTGAGAATGGAGGCAGCAGGACAGACACTACTGGGATGTGGTTTGTGTGGCTGAGGAGCTCAGCATGCTGTCCCTCAGTGTCTGTCTAAGGGTTGCACTCTTTTCTGGGGGCAGAGTAGACCAGAGGCAGTTGAGTGTATAAGAATGGTTCTTTTTCATCTCAAGCACTTGTCTAGAGACTAGAAGATCTGAAATGCTGTTCTCTGTTCTCCTTCATATTATGTTAATATGTGTCATCTAACATCACTGGAGTCCCTAGCAATCTGAGCACTTAGCATGCTTTAAAATGGGTTTCAAGGTATTCTAAACCAAACAGAAAATGAGAAGCCTCTCCAGAAAATAAGATGTACCGGAGCTGTAAAGTCACAGTCTGATTCAGACTCCTTTTTATGGGAACACCCTGCAACTTCTTTGAATATTTAGAGGTGCTATCCCTTGCACTCCACAAGGACATCGTGTGGAAAGGTGATAACCTAACAAGAATTTGAACCTTTGTCATGGTACTAGCAGCACAGCTTTGTTTGTGAACTGTTGTTTTGTTTCTGGGAAGATTACTGACTGCTTTTTTTTTTTTTTTTCTTGCTTTCTTTCCTATATTTTAGACATTTACAGCATGGTGTAATTCTCATCTCCGCAAGGCTGGGACACAGATTGAGAATATAGAGGAAGATTTCAGGGATGGTCTTAAACTCATGTTACTTCTGGAAGTCATTTCAGGTGAGAGAGGTTCTGTGTGGTGCTCTCAAGGGTCCTGAGCATCTTCGTTCTGAAATCTGTCCTCCTCCTCCTCCTCCTCCTTTCTTGCAGAATACAGGCTGCAAGGGCTGTAATGCCACAGATTTTGCTGGAATATAAGAACTGCTTCCTGATTCAGAACAAATTTCTCCCTAATGAATATCTGTCTCCAGCAGTGACCATTAATGTACTTTTGGAATGTACTCCAAATCTCATGGCCTGTGCAGGCTGCCCACTGTGTTCCTGCTCCTGCCTCTCAGCTTTTCTCTGCCTGTCAGGAATGCACAGCCTCCTGTGAAGGCTCAGGCAATGGCTTTTACTGCTTGGCAGGGCTGATGGAGCAGCTCTGGGAAGTGTGGGAATGCTGCACTGGCAAATCATACCAAAGCCACATGGCAGTGGGAGTACGATAGAAGTTATTTGAAGAGGGGAGTCAAACCAATAAATCTTTTGTGTTCTTCAGTTTCAGCTGTGACTGAACTCATTCCATTCTAGTTTTAATCTGAGCTCAGTGCTCAAGCCTTCATGGGAAAATAAAATTCAAAGAAAAGCTAAATCCCAGAAAACTCAGTCTGAAGTAAAATCAATGGCATGAACAAGTTAGGTTGTACTTGTTTTCACTCCGTGTCACAAATGTCCCACTACTAGACAGATATCTCCCAGGAATTGTTTCCTATAAGCAGTATTTTGATATGCTGATGAAATAAATACCTTAGCAGAGTGTCATGGGAGGCATCAAGAGAGTAAGACTGTATGTGTGAAACTGGGGTTATGTGCTCACAGACTGTCTTTTGGTGGCTTTTGAACCAGTTACAGCAGCCCAGTGACTTGCACTCCTGACCTTGGTACATTTTCCAAAATGGCCGTGATAGAAGCACTCGGACTGCTTTCCCTCTGTCACTCCTTTTCTTTCCTTCCCTTCCCCTTTGCCAGTTTCTGTGAACATGCTATCAGTATACTGTCAGTGTTTTTCAGAATTTATGAATATAGAATGAAACCTCAGGGGGTTTGCCCATGCTTGTGGTTTGGAGGAATCAGAGTTCAAAATACTGTCTGAGCTTTGCAGCCTGTACATTGTTTCTGCAGTGCTGTAAGAAATGAGGTAGCAAAATCATATTAGTTTATTTTCTGTATTTATGTACCTGTACAGAGGCAGGGCTGCAGCCTGGACACCGGGGCAGATGGGTCTTGATGGCTTAGTTTCTAATCACTGGACTGGACGACAGGGGAGAGAAGTATGTAGAGGAGAGGACAGATGAGGCTCCACGCTAAAGCAGGGGGTCTCCTGTCTCACACTGCCTAATTTCCTTGCATTGTCTTCCACTCTTCCTCTCCTGTTGTCCCTTTGGGAGCCCACTGGCAGGGCCTGTCAGATCCACCTCAGTTTGGGAAGAAGCTAGCAGCTTCCAATTGCACTGGTGGTGTGGGCAGACATGTGCCTATCCCAGTGCAGAGCAGCTCTGTGTCTGCAACTTGCTGCTAGATGAATGGGCAAATGCATGGAGAGCAGCTGGGGACTGCATCCCACCAGAGACCTTGGTCCTTCACACATGTGAAAAGACTGAGCATCTTTTCCCTAGAGACAGCAGAAGCTAGACTAAGTCCTCCCAAGTACAGTGGCAAAGGAAGAGAAATTTAGCACATTTTTCCCCCATTTCATTTCCGTCATTGGCCGTTCAATTATCAGTTGTGAGCCCCACTAATCATACAGAGCCTCCTTCCAGCTGCTAGCTCCACTAGCAGCCCTTTTGGTCTGTAGTTGGGGAAGCAACAGCCCATCTGAGGAGCAGCATGTGGGGATCTCCTGATGTTTGGCAAGGGCTCTTCTGTAAGTTCTTGCCATGGTTCCCACTCATCATCTGCCAAGAGGGTGAGTCTCTGGAAGACTATTAGCCCTCTAGTTCCAGCTTCTGGCCTTGCCTTTCAGCTCTCGGCTCACACCTTCCTCTTCACGTATACTGAGGAGCTGCTGATGGGAATTTGGCATGGGCCGGGTTACTCTGTGAGGCTGATCTCTTCTAACCCAGAGGATGATGGCCAGAAGAGCTTTTAGCTATGAGAGTGCTGGGTCAGATTGGCTGAGAGCCTCCTCCACCTGGCCATATGGATATGATGTGTGGAAGTGAGGGAGGGAGCACCGTCTCCCTCTGCCCCTGCTGTGGGGTGGTTGCTGCCACTCTGCCATGGAGCCTGCATGAGGGAAGCTACTGGAGGCCCTATGGTGGAAGAGGGACGTAGTCACTGGGACTGTGGGAGACCTGTTTCAGGGCAGACCCTCACGTGTGTCCTTGGGGGCACACTGATACCAGGCAGCTAGGGCAAGTACAAAGCTGTTTTCCCATTTGATGCAGTTTCTCAGAGTTGGGAAGCAGTGATGATCTGCAAGAAGAGTATGCTTCAGTTTTACTCAGCCTAGTACCTTCTGGCAGTGAGCTATGCTGCTGATGGGTCCGCTTTCAGCTCCACAAGAGCCCCTTGGTTGCCCAGTCCCTGTGCAGTGGGGGAAGTTCCACAGACAGTCCTGGGACTTCCTCATTCCAGGTCCTCTTGCATTGGAAGTAACAACTGCAGCCTCCCCCAGAAATTGCCCCAAAAGATACACTTCCATTTTTCACCACGTGTTTCCTTCCCTGGAGAAAGCCATTTTAAAAATAACACTACAAGACTGAAAAAGGCTAAACTGACATTTAATACTTTTAAAATAAAGTTATAAGGTGCTTTTTTCCCCCCTCAAACAGAAGGAATGACTAATTGAAATTTTTCCTAAACAAATTTGTAGTAAACAACTTTTATGCCAGCACATCCTTGCATTGTTTAGCTTTTAAAGTACAGCCTTGGGCTAGTACATGAGAATCAGAAAATGGAAGCAAGTAGACCATTTTCATTGTCTCAGCTGAGAGAAGTACTGAGAAATAAAGCAATGATGCAAATAGCTGAAAGTAGAACATATTTCTAGCAGGCTTCCTTTTAACAGTCTGCATCATTAATAACATATGACAGGTGATGCTTTTTTCTGGAAAATTTTGTAATAAACTTTGTAATAAAGTCCAAGTCTGAAGGAAATAGTCGTTTGGTTTTGGAACTTAAAAAGTACACAAAAAAAGGATTATAATCTGAGAAAGGGAGACTGCAATTTTGCAATCACCATCATTGCTGAAGGATTGCATTGGTGTCAGGGGGAACAATCCTGTTTTTCCCAGCCTTAGGGAAAGCAGTTCAGCTGCTCTCCCCTGTATTGGCATTGCATATGCGGCCACAAGGTGAATTGGATCAGCTTGCTGTTCCAGCTGAAACCTAATCACTTGTCTTTATTTTTGTTTTTGCAAGGCTAGTTTACAGTCACATGAGCTGAAGAAAATTGTTATTTTTTAGCTGGCTCGGCCCATTTGTTGACATTTGGTAGCATAAGTCTGCTTAAATCTATTGTAAAACTAAACATAAAAATGCCATTGTGAAACTGCCACAAAAAATACTTCAACTTTTCTTTAGAATGATTGGCACTGTCCAGGTGGAAAAATAAAGCAATGTATCATGATGTGTACTTGAGGTTCCATTAAAGCAAAAGGATTTTTAATTCTAGGATGGAGGTAGTACCATAAAATACATGTTTTTACCTTAATTGCTAGACACCCGTGTTTCATTTTGAAAATTAATCTCATTTTATCCTTAAGCATGAGAGCTAATAACACCAGCCAACAGTAACCACTGAAATACTTCTATAGACTTTTAATTTCAGACTTTTTTTCTTGTAGGGCATGGTTGTGGAGATAATATTTTTTCTCTGTTTTAGCTTTTCCTCACACCTGTGTTGGGAAACAAGCCAAGTACTTTTCTTTCTCACACTTAAGCATCAAATAAAGGTTTTGAGTTAGCAGGCTTTGGCTTAAATATTCAGTTCAAGATACAGCAGGAGACTTTTGGAGTTGAGTAGGTCAGGTGAGTAATTACTTGCCTAGACTTGCCTGTTTGATCTCTTTTTAATTATAACTTTTTTTTTTCCCCCGAAGTGCAAAACATGTTTGGATTTTCTTTAGATTGCTTTTTGTATTCTGGAGCTTGTGATCTGAAAGTGGACATTCTGTTCATTTTTGGTGTTGTGTGTCACACACCAGTTATTCCTGATATCGCATCTAGTTATATTTCTAATTGAGGTTCCTTTGAAAAGTCCACCCGTCTGTCTAAGCTTTAATTTGCTTACTCTGAGTGTTGTGTTATTGTTAGTAAAAGTAGACTGTGAGCATAATTAGAGGCAGACTATGAAGAAGGATACGGCTGCTCTTAATGCAGCTCTTTCAAATAAATACAGTCAGGAAAATGCTTTTTCAAGTCTTTCAGCTTTGTTGCAGTCAGGAACTGGTGTTATCCTACGTCTGATTTCTATTGAGATTAACCTGCTCTTACCTCAGGGCTAGGCTGCTTCCTTCTTTGTGCCTCATTATAAACATTTAAAATGAACAGCTGTGTAAGAGACCTTGTGTAGAGATAAAAATACATCAAACTTAATGGAAGGGAGTTGAGGTGACAGTCCTGACAGTTATAAAGCCACTTGCCTAAGAATTATTTTATTTCCTGAAAGAGGCAGTTTTGGCCAGGGACAAGACCAGAGAGGTAGGAGGTCTGTATCCTGGACGGGATAAGAAAAGGCAGGGTATAAGATCACCCTCATATTTCACTGTAGGGAGTTCAGTGGAGAGATTTGCTTTGTAAATTGGGTGTTGGAGGTTCTGGAGGAGACCTCCTCACTTGTCTTTGTCAGGGAAGGAAATTAGTGCCATTTCCAAGCATCCTCATCTGTGGTTCATGGAGGTTAGTTCCACTGCCTAGCTCAGTGGGGTTTCAACTGACCTTTTCACCACTGATACAAACCTGCTCTGAAAAGGACTCAGTGTTGACAGATTCTCTATTACTAACTTATCTCTGATGCAACAAAAGGATACTTTTCTGTCTGATTCTTTCTAAGGCTGTCCTGGGCTGTGAGTGTGGCTGTCCTGAAAGAATGCAGGGTACTCTACCCTCTGCCTGGCTGAGCAGTGGGAGCCACCAGCATGGGAAACACCTACCAGTGAAGAACAGGTTCAGAATTGTTTTCTAATAATTTTTTTTCCTCTTTTCTTATTAGGTGAACGTTTGGCTAAGCCTGAAAGAGGCAAAATGCGAGTGCACAAAATATCCAACGTGAACAAGGCCTTGGATTTCATTGCCAGCAAAGGAGTCAAATTAGTATCTATTGGAGCAGAAGGTAAGGAAACCAGCTGGTTTGTCTGGGATCAAGCTGTGCTTAGTCATTGTCTTTCTTATTAGCTTCATCTCATTTCCCTTTGCACCTCCCTAGCCCTACCGTGTTCTTGTAGAATAAGCCATCGAGTTAAAAGTGGGATTTAGTAACCCTTTACTCTGGATTTAAATCCTGCCTTCACACCACACTGCTAAACCTGATTCCCACTTGGGCTTATGGATCAGGTCCTCCTGTTTTTCTTCTGGTTCTCATGAGTTAAGGAAAACTTTGGGCAATGGCAGAAACAAAATGATTGAGATATTTCTTTTGCAAATGAAGAAAAGACTCAACTGAAGCATAGCAGTTATTTGTATTTAGTGAGTTGCAGAGCTGTTGGGGAAGATCCCCTGTTGCTGTAGGACACTGCATGGGTCAAAGCCAGGTGCAGTCCCTAGCACAGGACAAAGACCCCAGAGATTCCAATTTTCAGGGCCTCCAGTCTTCTTTTTGTGCCTCCCAGAAAGATGGGTGCTTGAAGCCTGTGCATTGTTGTGTAGAGACCATTGTGAGAAGCACCAAGGGATGCCCTCAAGAAGAACTTGCAGATCATGCAGAAAGCAGGCAGTTGGGTAGGATTTTTGTCTCTTTAGCAAAGATGGTGGGTGTTTTGCAGATATGTCACCCAAGACCCAGAAGGACTTGCAGGTTTTCCTGACATTTGTTTTGCTCTCTTCTGAATCTGTGTGTAAGTCCTGCCTATGGACTCAGGTTGTCACTTGCTGTGGAAACACTCTACTTCTATGGTATTTCTAGGTTTGTATTTACAGTGACCATGGAAAATGAGGGAGGTTTGTTATCTCCACCTTGCAGATGGAAATACATGGTTTCTCTAGGGAAACTCATGACACAACCAGGAAATGAGCCCATGATACAGTTCTGGATGAGCATTCCTCCTTTGGGAGAGTCCTGGAGCGACAGGGCTGAGTCCTGCCTGTTCTCAGCTCATGAGGTCAGTGCAGTCTCGGCATGCTGTCCCCAATTTTGGCCTTTCAGGCATGCTCTTGGGGCATGTCCAAGACATGTACCCACTCTGTGGTTCACTTGTTCCATGTCAGATCAGCCACTGCAGGTGCTTATGTTTGGCTTACCGAGACCTTTACCTCAACATACTGCTTTAACTTCATGGACACTTTGGAATAATTTGGAACTATTGTCCATGGACATTGCAGACACCTCTTTACTGTGTTGGGTATAGAAGAGCAAAACTTTTCTTCAGATTTCTTAGCTTTTCCAACAGTAGCACCCTGAGACTATTTTTGGCCCTGAATACTGTTTATGTAGCACAAATACCTATCTAAGGTCATTTTTGCCTTTAAAAAAAGACTGATGCATCCAGTGTCTGATATAATAGTCCATATCTATGTGGGGCCCTTTTCAAACTAGAAGTTGGACCTGGAGTGAGAGGTCTTCTACCTTTAGACAGCTCCTGTTGTCATTTGGATCTCAGACAGACATTTGAATCCTTCTGAGAGTCTAAAGCATGTGTAAAATTTACCTTTCTTTCCTGCTCTCCTGCTCTATTCCCCTTTTTTTTTATTTCCCTGATTCTGTGCTCCCTGGCACTAGTTTGTCTTTTCCTCTTTTTCCACTGGATTTTATCTTTGCTCTCTACTCCTTAGTCAGCTGTGACTGTACCCTCAGAGCACCTAGAAATCATTTGTGAGTAAAATGATCTGTGACCAAAGATCAGTAGAGCCCAGTTATTCGGTATGGATTCATAGCAATTACCCTGTTCAGAAATAGGCTCTGAGGTGCCATTTTGAGACAGAAGTATGTTTTGTATATGAAAGTCTGAATGGTGATCCTGTCCTCTCCTGCCATATGTTTCCTGGCTTTTCTTTGTCCTGGTTCCCATGCAGCTACATGGTGAATACATATGGGTTTCTTTATACTACCAAAAGTAGCATGGCACTGAAGTTTAGACTAAGGGTTAGCTTTGATTTTTGTAGAGAGTGCTTGGGCCTGTGCTGTGATGCCAGCTCAGGACATGGAAGTGTGATCACATCATGGACTCCCCGACCCCAGTGCCGGGCCTGCACACAGACTGAGCCCAGGCCACTCAGGTTGTCACCAAGAAATATAACCTGCAGCAGGGGCCTCTGCCCAGCCCATCTAGGTCTCTGGTGTACAGTAAACTGCCCATCAGCTATAAAAATAGACTTTTACTTTGGACAGCGCAGCAGTTAATTATGTCCACAGAAGGGATTATAAACCTTCCTGGAGCATAAATTTTAAGGACTTACTTTCAGACTTTAAGAAGACATCATTCAGCAGCAAGCTAGAAGATCTAAACCAAAGAGTCAGTCATAAGTGTGCACCAAGAAGATGAGCTTTACATGTCTCAATCAGGTTGGGCTGATCTAGAAAGTTTTCTAGGTGGCTTTTTTCCCAGAGGAGAAAACCACCATCCAGCAGCAGTGTCGTGGTACTGGCTAGGACAACACACTCCTTACCTCAGGCTGTCTTGCTACATCTCTGGGTATCTGCTGGGCAGCAACGTCCTGTGGGAAGGTCCTGTATCTGCAGGCCAGCTGTAGTTCCCTGCACACGTTGGCCATCAATGTCCTGGCTTCTATTTATTTTTTTAAATTATTTTTATTTTATTTTAAACGCTTTGTTAGCCAGAGTCCATAGAATCAAAGTAGTTCTAGCATTCAGCAGGTAAGTGTAAATCTGGATCGAGGAAGGCTCTAACCTGGTGCAGCTTCCAAATGGTTTTCGTCTGCTTTTAAATCTCACTGTCATCTGACACCTCAGGAGCCTTCTTTTGATGTAATAGATTCCATCTTAATGTCAAATGATCCTGGGATTTAACAGATTAAATAGGTCAAGTATGTGACCCTAAAACTTTAATTTTTATCTTTAATCTGTACAGAAAGTTGCTGCTTTCTTAAAAAGATCTGGTTCCCTTCAACTTACAGATAACTTTGGATGAACTGATCCCTATTCTCACCTGTGCAAGTGAAAGGAGAAATAAAATTTAGAGATTTCAACATTTGTAGAAGTCTCATCTGAGCAAAACATCTGAGGCACCAGGCAGTGCAAGCAGACACAGTGGAAAGAGGGGAAAAATAAGGTCCCTCCATGTCAGTGAGTGAAACACAGCACTGTATTTGTCCCTATGTCCTGTCCACTCATGGTTAGGGACCTCAGAGGTACATCCTTACCAGCAATGCCAGCTATCTATCCTAAATCTGACTGGACCATCATTAGCAACTTGCTTTCTGAAGACAGATTCATGGGATACTTGTTAGTATCCAACAAAATGCAGAACAGCCTTCATTTACATCACCATTGTTGTTCTGTGTCTCCAGTTCCCAGATCATAATGCCAAACCCTGCAACAACTTCTCTCCATGGGGTAACCAGAGGCTGTGCTCTCATGGGCAACTCATAAGTAGCTAGAGGGGGATAGCAGTTTCTATATTGTTGATTCTGCTTCTAACTGCCCAGGCCAGGGCAGAAAACTAATCTTAATAATCTTTGCATTTTTCAAAATGAGTTCATGCATTTAAAAAAGGTGGTGGCATTTTAAAAGGCACATCTCTGTAGCCAGCCAGTCTTCCTCCTGAGGGCTGGATATTTGTCAGGCCTTAATTGGTTGTCAAACAAATGGATGAGAGTACTGTAGTTTTTGCATACTTAGTTCGTGTTATTTGGTACATTAATGGGAGGTAGGTGGAAGCATATTCACTGATACAAAAAATTTCCTTCTAGTGGATGCAGATGCCTCAGCAGCTTTAGCCAGCAACTGATCAACCCCCAAATTGAGTGTAAATCACATTAGTAACATGTGCTTGCTGCTGCTGTTCAGGCAACAGCTGCTAGTGGTGGAGGAAATGCAGATGGTTCTTGCAGAGGTCCTACCTAAAAAGAGCACTTGGAAAGCACAGTCAGGCAGAAGATACTGTCTGACTAGTAGCCTTTTAATATGTGAACTGCTCTCACATTACTGAGCATTCCTTATATCAGCAGGGAACAAACACAGTATCTTTAATTAAACATTACATTGTTCTAGCTTTGTAGTGTTACATTCAACTTTTTAACACTTCCTGTGGTGTTTCTTTTTCTTCATCACCAGGAAGCAGAAAGCCTCATGCAAACCTGGTTTGCAACCACATTTTTCACTTTTGTTTCTTGGCTTTACTCCACTATATTAGAAAGAGACTGGCAGCAGGCGAAGAGTGCCGAAGGGATCCTCAAGGAAAAGGAGATTAGCATTGGGGAATGCAGGGGTGGAAAACCAAGTAAGTGAGGGCCAAAGAGCATAAAGCCTTTCTGATCAGGCTGCCTGACTGTAACCAGGTTGCCAGGAGTTTTTTAGCACTAGAAATGAAAAATGCTTGCCTGCTTCCATCAAATAATAAAAATCTGTCAACTCATTGAAAAGAGAGAAAAGAAAAAGACTGGGGATTGTGTGGCTTGTTAAAAGTGCATCCTGGGATGGATCACTCAGTAATCTCATTGACATCAGTATCTGCTTGGTAGGTGGTGAGTTTTCTCTATATCAAGAAGAAGTAAATGATATGTAGAGATGAAGCAGTAGAAACACTCTGTATTTCTTCTAGAGCAGCTTTGTTTTGGTGCACTGCTAAGGAATAATCAAATATGAGAGCAGGGAGCACATCTTCCTTTTTGAATGAGTAATGCAGTCAAGAGGACTAGGGAAGAAAGGGTGCTTCCACCTTAACTCCACCAACTAAATTTATAAAACTGGAATTTGACAATGTAACCAGAGGATAGTGCTGAGTTCTTATGCCACATCAGCAACTTAAATCTGTCTGGTTTTATGTAAGTGTCTTGACCTTTATTTCTAATTAAAATCCATGGAACGGTAATATTAATTACCTGTTTCAGCTCACTGATTGATTTATTAGTGTTCGTGAAGCGTTTTCGGCATTAAAGTATTGTCATCAGATTTTAATCTAGCCCATTAAAATGGAGAGCTCAGTTTAGTTTCAGATCTTAAATATATCCTAGGAGAGTCCTGCCAACTGCTGTGGTTTTTAAAAGCATTGGGTTTTTTGCTTTTTGAAAATCCCCATCTATCACATGAACAAAACAAGCAAGCTGAAAACATAGATGCTTTCTTATATATTTTAGCTGCAGTATCTCAGGTATCCGTAACAATAGTAAGGATTTTCCTTTAAGTTGATTGCTTTTTTATAGGGGCAAAGAATGCAGAAAGTGCAGAACTGGGTATACCTGCCATCACTTGGCATTTTCTTACATCAACCTAGCAGACCCCTGACCCCAAAATGCCTGTAAAAAATTAATTTGTGAGAAAACTATCAACAGGCAAGCATAGTTTTTTCATGCCAGCAACAGTAACTGTAGTTCTTTTGTACTGCAGTGAAAAGTTGTTGGCTGTTAAGTTCTGGGCAAACTGATGCCGCACCAAGGTATGTATGTGTACTCTGAAGTGCAGAAAGGAGCAGACATGGGGGTTTGCTGGTATAAAACAAAGTGGCATGTCTTGTTTTCTATCTTATACATCTGTAAATCCCTAATGGAGGTGTATGTCAAAGGACAGCGGAGCTTATAATTCTAATTTACACTGTAAGTTGTGTGACACGTATCCCTGAATCACAAGTTTTCAGGAATTTGGACCAGGTGGACATGTGTCTGGGGTGTGTGCTGCTTGTCTGTTGGTTAAGAATACAATGAGACTCACATTTTGAGTTTTTTTCAGAAGAAGAAAAGGGGTATTTTTAACAGCTTAAAAGGAAAAATTCACGTACCGTTACTTTTGGGTCAGGATGTGGACAGGTGGCAGTTGCCTATACTGCAACTTTCTACTTGTCCCAGAACACAGTTTGTTGCTACTAGGCAGCTTTATGGGAGCAGTGGTACAGAGGTGTCTACAGGAGTTCAAAAGGTTTCTGACAGCCTTCTTGGGACTTGAATTATTGTACCTCCAAAGAGTAGGTTAATTCTAACCATTTTCTTACTGAAAATACTCTTAACTTGTCAGTTGTTTGAGAAAGGTCCTGTCGTGCAGGAACCTGCTAGAGGATGAGTAGGAGAAGGCAGCTCAGCTAGTTTCACTATCCAAAAATGTGAAGGCTGTAAATTCTGCAACATGTATATATATATCTCTCTGTGGAATTTTTGTAGATGCTGAGTATTGGCACTTAAGATCCATCTGCTCACTGTTTGGACTGTTTGGCTCTAATCTATACATGGTGGAAGCCCCTTTCTGGACCATCATCACCCCAAATGCTCCCGCCAGGACCTTGGTCCCTATCCTTAACAGACTGTACCTCGCACACGCAAGCAGTTGCCTTGTAAAAGCTCCAGGTTGCTGACCCTTGCTCATTTATATTGTGGAGTCCAATGAGCAATAAATCACAATCTGCTTAATATCATAGTTTGTTATGGTCTGTGCAGACTGGTCAGCACGAGTCTTTGCTTCCACTTCCAGCAGGATGCATGTACTTTGAAAAATGCTCTATTGTGTCTTTTGGCAGTTACATGACTGAAAGAAGTCCTACACAGGCAGTCTGATGTATTTAGGCTTGTTTGAAATTAAAATATTCATGGTGCATGGTTTTCTCAGTGGTATCTTGTTCACAGGACAAAACCAGCTGTCAGAGCTCATCTGCGCTGGGAAGCACTGGTTCTTCTGGTATAGTTATGCTTGGGCACTTATATAGTTGACTTGGAGTAGACATAGGAGAGTAAGAGAAGGAAGGCTTTTTTTTTTTTTCCTCAGTTTGGCTTCTGTGACTTCTAAGCTATTGTGACTAAACCTGAACAAGGTGTTTTTAGGTCCCTGTGGGAAATTACACTAATGTAAATTGGTCTTTATTTCTGATCTTTGGGATCATCTGTATCTGTTTTATTCTCAGTATTATACTGCAAGAGAACCAGTCTGAGTACTGGGTACTGTGCTGTACGAGCAGAATATCTGGGAAGGCAAGGAAAAACAGTTTTTAGCAGGAATGCCAGTTCTCCCATCTGCAAAAAAAATGCTTCCCAATGCTCCTTTTTTACAAGGATTTGTACCTGCAACTTGATGTCTTCTATTTCTTCTCTTTCTACCTTTTTTTTTCCATAGAAATTGTGGATGGCAATGTTAAAATGACCCTTGGAATGATCTGGACCATCATCCTTCGTTTTGCCATTCAGGATATCTCAGTTGAAGGTAAATTTTAGTTCTTTCCAGCCACTGTTAAATTATGAACACCTTTGCTACTTGAAAGGCCCAAAATGTGCTCTTAAGTGAGTCACTGAAAGATCCTAGGAAGCTACCCTTCCCGCGCTGCCTTGTCATCTCAGTGACATTTACGGTCAGGTTCAGGTATACTGAGAAGAGTTTTTCACATCCTTCTCTTACAAAATATTTCAAGGGCAACTCGAAAGGATGGCTCAGCCTGAAAAGCAACTTTAATGTTGGAATCTTGAATTTCTGGCAGGCTGATTCAGGCAGTAGCACTGAAAATGGACCTATCTCATACAAGTCCTACAAGACTCTCTGATCTCAGAAAGCTATCTCCATATTACTCGAATTCATTAAGAAAACAATAGTAACAAAGCTATCCCAGTAGACTCTTCCAAACAAGAAATTTTCTGACAAGTGAAATTAAATAAAGCAAAATTCAGTGCCGTTTCTACTAAAGAGAAATTGGTGATTGTTTTCTAGCATATGCTCTAAAGGCTTCTCTTTCCTAAGAAAATGAGTTCATTGCTGTATTTTCTTTCTTTCACCAGAAACATCTGCTAAAGAAGGACTTTTGTTATGGTGTCAGAGGAAGACAGCCCCCTACAAAAATGTAAACATCCAGAACTTCCATATCAGGTGAGTCACAGGCAAGAACTTAGCTTTACAATCTCTATTATTTTCCTATATCTCTTGGTATATTCAACAACACTCTTGACAGACCTCCCAAGGCAATGCATATGTGCATTACACAGTTACAGTGTAGTCCAGAGAGACACCTAGGAAATTAAAGGCAGAGGTTCTAAAAGGATCCCAGTACCTACATCTCAATTTCTCATTGTGGTAACAATTGCTGCTTTCATAAAGTTCTTCAGAGCATTAAGTCCTCTGAGAGCAGTGTATGTGCCGTGGGCAAAGCAAGAGAGTGTTTGCACTGTGAAAACTCAAAACACTTTAGGAACCATGAAAAAAGGACTGCACCCAGAGCTTTTGTAGTACGGAAGAGTTGGGAAGGCATAAGAAGTTTTCTTGCTCTGCTCAAACTGGCAGATGTTCCAGTGAAGATTCTGCATAATAGTGCTTTTCCAGCACATCTTGGAGAGTTGAATATGTATATGAATATATATGAATCACATAAATGTAAAGCACTTTTAAGAACTTAACTGCCTTTTATGCTAGCCAGTACTGTAGTGTAGCTAGCTGTGAACATCTGTCCTTTCCCTAAAGAATGCACTTATTCCTTCTTTAGGGCTTGTACCTACACCTTTTTTCAACCCTGAGCTCTATACCTGTCCTCACATGCTCCACAATGTATGCACAGAGATTTCAGCACAGAAAACTGCCACAAAGGAGGTGGCAGTGCAGTGGACAAGTCCTAATCACAGTGGATTTTTGTAGGGTTGGAAATGAATATTTCAGTCTCATGCACATACAAGACAATCCCTCCTTCCCAGCACTTACAGGAGCACTGTTAGTTGGAAAGTAAACCAGAATTAGTTGTCTCAGTGCCTTCTCTCATGCTCATCACTGTGTGTCTCCATGGCGAGCAGTGTTCATTGTTCTCTCTTCTATCTCTCTTGCAGTTGGAAGGATGGCCTTGGTTTCTGTGCTTTAATTCATAGACATCGTCCAGAGCTCATCGACTATGGGAAGCTACGAAAGGTACAACTCAATTTGTTTGTCAGAACAGATGTTTGGCTCCTTGGAAGTAAAGAGGGAGAAGAATTAGCTTGATAAAGATAATGGGAGAATTTCAGCACAAGCTGGCAGTTGCAGGACTGAGGGGGGATGGAAGGAGGAATGAATCAGTACATTCAGGCTTCTTAGTGAAGCGTGAACTTAATGAGCTTCCTGCTTGACTTTCCCTGCTTTCAGACTGCCTTGTGTGAGACACACATGCCCCAATCCCAGCTGATGAGCAAAAGCTGGCAAACTCAGTAACACCAAGCATGAGACTAGTTTTGTGCTAATGTCACAGACTAGTGAGTCAAATCAGACTTAAAATTTCTGTGGACAGTTGGATAGAAACCAGTTACCTGGTGTTCAAGTGCAATAGCTCATTGAAGGGTTTGTGTCCCCTCACTGTGCACTTATCACATGCTTCCAGCTTAGCACTGAGTCATCTGCAGTACTAGGGTTCTCCTAGCATGTAGGTACCAAGTGCCAGAAATGCATTTGTGACAAAACTCAATTTTACTTTAAAATTGCCACTGGTAACATGATACCAAGCTGCTCCAAAGTTTGCTTCCAGTGTATTTTGGAGACAGGATTGTTAAGTGGATGATGAGAATAACCATTCAGTGGTTTGTGCTTCTAGCAGTGTCTTGACCCAGCAATGCAATGGAAGATCAAACTGGTTTCTTATCCTGCAGTATGCTGAGATCCAGTTTCACTGTATCTGTGTGCACATGGAATGAAATGTCACCAAGAGCATAATTCATGTGTCATTACTGGGGCTAACACAAAAAGTTGTCCATCAGATCTAATGGGCTGGGTGTTTTATGTGCATACGTGCCTGGTGATAGCTAGAGAAATAAACATAGAAGCCCATTACCAGTAGACCTGGGCCCTTTGATCACTGTGCAAATAGACAAAATGTAAATGACCTAATCAAATCAGCTGCATCCTTGAGGCAATGAATTGTACAATGCCTGATCTACTTTTCAGTAACCTTTTAGATCTTTACTGTCTTGCAGAGCAGTCAGTTATATTATCTGATCAGTTTTAGTGTCTGGAGTCAGCATATGGTGAATAAACAGGGGGGGAGGGTGGACTGTACCTGTTTACATAAACAACAGCAATAAGAAAAGGAATTAATAAAGTGCCATTTTCAGTGCCTGATCTTAGGAAAATAAAGCAGCTAAGCAATGTGTGTCTGACAAACCTAACCAGGTAAATGCTAGAATGCTCTCTGTTATCAACAAAGCCCTAAGCCAAAACTGAGCAAAAACAGAGTAGAGTAAAGTGAGTTATTTGGTGATATTGCTTGCAGGCTTTTTAAGGTGAAAGGTAGAGAAATTGTTCGAACCAAATTCAATGCACATGGGAAGGGATTTCTCCCACTTGGAGTAAGGTTAAAAGAAACCAGCATCTTTTGATCTCTGATTGCTTTTAATCCCATTCTTCATCAGATTCCCTCTGCCCTCCTGCAGTCTTCTCACTCTTTCTATATAATTTTTATTGTTTCTGCCTCAATTACTCCAAAGGCATGAGATTAAATGTATGTTAGAGAACTCTACAACGGCTGAAATCTTGAGCAAATAGCTGGGAAGAACTTAGCTCAAAATTTAGCCTTTAGTTCTGGCAATTAGTGTGTGCTGAAGGGAAGTTGCCTTTTTTATGTTTGATCTTTGAATTGTGTTTGTGGAATGTATAAACACGGAAGAAGCTGCTGAGAAGCAGCCATTACAGTGGGTAGTAGATTAGAGATCCACCTTAAGTTCTTTTCCAACTCTAGGGAGCAATTATTGGCATCTCATTGTGCCTTTGGCAATGCTCTATGTGTGTGTGTGTACACAGAAACACATATGCACAAAAGTACAAGATAGATGAAATCAGTCCAACCTGCTCACAGTTCTGCATTGTACCTCCTGTCTGGGCAACGTTCTTTTGCAGTTTTAGTGTTTTCTGCACTTTCATAGAGGCTGTGTCTATGATACCAACTCTCTGTTGGCAGTGTACGCCTGCAAAAGGTAGCCAGTGGAAAAGCTGCATGTCTTCTTCCCAAAATTAGGCAACTTACTCTGTCAGCACTGTTTTGTATTGAGTTTCTTCCTTGATATTTTTCCTAATCTAGTTATATTAGCAGAACAAGCACAGTTCTTCTCTGCATAGCCTACCACTGCCTGGGTAAAGTTACTTGTGTAGTCCAGGCCTCAAAATAAAAGATGCAAGTCCACCCAGCTTGTTGTCAGTGATTCCCTGACACCACAGCTTATTTGGTTAGAAAGTTTCTATTCAGTGCAGGTCTGTCTGCTGTTGTTCAGCTCACTGTAGATAAGGTCTCAGTATTCAGCTCGTGGTATGCAGAAGATGGGATTTCCCTTCCACCTTTTGCCCCTGACTGTAGCTCAACCATGAGCCATATCTAAGATATTTTATCAAGTACAGTGATTGACTGATGGCTCTGACACCTCCTCCTATACCACAATCTGCTTAGAACAGTCTACTGCTGTGTTGTATGCATTTATTACAAATCTTCCTGAAAACATGAGGTTTGGATTTCTTTCCTAAGTGTCTTCAACTCTAGCAGATATAGTAAGTGCTTACTCTCTCTTGATTTTCCTCCACCTCCATCTCCTTTCCTGATTGCTAGTTAATAGGAGATGGTTTTTATGTCACATTGCAATAATTGCCATGGCAACCTTGTGTGCTGCAAGGGTTTGGAAATAACTGGAGGAAGAGAGAAGAGTCCCTGTGTGAGTTAGCTTTGTGGCGAAAGATGAACACCCGTGATAAGTCTTTAGTCAGCAAAAGCAGAGAATGTGCCGGGTTGGCATCTGTTCAGGGCAGGTTTGCTGTCTGCCACCATTGAAACAAAGTAACTTCTCCATGGTAAAACTGCACATTTCCTCGTGGGTAGCCCAACTAGAGCCTGACTGTTCCTGTTCATACTTCTGCCATTGCTATGTTCATGTAAATGAAATGGCAACTGAGGCACCTCTGCAGAACCTCATCTGGGTCAGTGCTCTTTTGGGTGTGTGTTTCAGCTGTGGAAGGAATCAGGGGACAGGTGACTTGGCCTTTGGGTCCCTAAAGGTGCCTGCAGCCGTGGTGCTGTAGTGCAAGGCTTGGAGCTGCCTGGCCAGTCATTCTTATGTTATCCCTTTTCATGGCTGTCAACTGAAATGGGTGATTTGAAATAATGATTAGCTGGTGGTCAGTGGGAACTGACAGTGGTGGAGTCTAGTGGAATTTCATAGGACTTAAAACCCTATTGTAGTCTTGGACAAGCCCTGGGGAAACCCTTCACACTTGCATGAAAAAGCATCACTTTTGTAATGAGCATCTCTACTGTCCTTGAGGGGTGAAGCTTTTCCTACAGGGAACAGGGTCTTGCTTGGGTTTAGCTCTCTGCTCGTCTCAGAGTGAGTCTTACTTAAGTAGCTTGCTTTATGTATTGCAATCCTTATTTTCATTCCCCAAGAGACACTGTGATCACACATCTTTCTTGCATATGAAATAGAAATATGCTGGCTTTATCTAGGTGAGTTTCCACTTTCCCACATGTTAAGACTTCCAGCCCTTCCTTTGGGACTGCCCAAGCCCAGTAAGTTTTCCCATCAGGAAACCTCTCCCAGCTTCCAGCTTAAAATTTCTTTTTAACCTTTGGCAACATTGCTCCTGGTGTTGTTACTTGCAAACTGATAGGGAAGCTATCTGCAGTGAGTTTGCTCCTCCCTTTCCTCCAGGAGAGGCTGACAGATCTCCAGGCGTCTCATTCAGATGGGCCTGTTCTAAGGAAGGATTTGTGTTAATACTGAACAGTCTGTAAGGGTGTTAACAACCCCAGGGTTGTCATGATCAGCATAGGTTGAAATTCAGTACACAGTGGTGACATTTCGACAGAAGTAGAAAATGGCACATGGGCTAGGGGTAAGACTGGCAAGGGAGCTGCCACTTGGTATTTCTGGATGCTGCTGCACTTGAGTGAAAGGAATGCTGTTACTTTTTCTTCCTAAATGGAGGCCCGGTCTACAAAGAGTGAACAAGCTATGTTATATACCAGCTAGTCTCACCTCCTCAAATAAGGCTTTTGGTTACACTTTGGCTTCATAGAAGTTTCTCCACAGCAGGCACAGAAGACAAGTAGGTTGAAATTGAAATGGTGGCTCCTTGTGGCTGGTGGATAGTAAAAATCCATTGCCTGCACCACTGCTAAGCTCTGAAGAGGTAGCTTAGATATATCTGATGCAGTCACCATTGAAGTGTGTTATATAGCAATAAAGTATTGTTTGACACTGTTACCATGTGCGATAGCTGCTGGCCTCATCGCAGCATGCCTGTGCAACATTGATTTGTTCCAGTGGACTAAATACAGATCACTGGTCACGTCTGTTTTCATGGCCTCTGTGTGTGATTTACTGTCGTAGATGAAACAATGCTCTCTACTGAAGATATTTACCTGAAGGAATGTGATGCTGATATGGGATGCCAGCTTAATAAATGCATTGATTTCTAGGAAAATGCTGTAGGAAAATGCTTTTCAGAACAGCTCAGTTTCCTAGCCCATGAAGGCTGTCATCTGAGGACTACGTAATGGCCAGTGCCATAAAGGAAGTTTTATACATGCCCATACCCTGTCTGCCCAAGCCTGCCTAGCTTCATCTTTCCTGCTGGGTGGATTCAAAGGAAACTACCTACTGATTAGAGTTCAGGCACAGCTTAATCTTCAAGTCAATGCAATAAGAAAAGGCAGATGATCTCAAATAGAAAATAAACAGAACATGGATGCCACTCTAGAAGAAGGCAAAATAATTATACTTCTTATTTCCTAATTTTTTATGTGGTCTTAGTGTGAGTGGCATGAATGACAATATGGAGAGTACAACCCCATCTTTCCTCTCTGTCAAGACACCTAACAAGGTGTCTAAACATTAGCAGTTTACACACAACTTTTTATCCAGCAGAAGCCATGTGTTTCAACAGTAGAAACTGGTAGTTCAAATGTCATTTGACACCCATGAAATGGATTGACCCTTCGGATTAATTATCACAGTTATTCAGGAATATAGGAACAGGCTTGTATGAGGATCTCATGTAGGTTGGCAGGTGTCTTGTTGCTGATTATGTTTGAATGCTGGAAACAATTTGCAGAGGTCTTTCATTTCCAGTGACATCAGTGTTTCACGTTCTCTTGTGTCACTCTTTAAAATCTACTTACCTTTGTGATATTACTCATGATCATAAGTCACATTTGGCTGTGTTTGATTACTGTGTATTGATGTCTGTATCTGAATTGCATCCTGCCATAGTAGAAGGTTTATATAGAGAGAAATAGAAATGTACTAAGGAAATTACAAGTCCTGTGCAGGAGGAAAAACAATACCCAAGGCAAAATGGGTATTTTTGTATCTATTTATTTTGTAGAGATTTGTTAAAACATTTCTTTTCCTCCCACTCAACTGATGTTCAACAAACTGTACGCTAGCTAAGGACAGCACCCATTGCAGATGTTGTGTTACTATTTTAGTATTGCTTAGATGTTTTAACAGATATACTACTCTGTAGTTCTTTAAATGGAAGTTGCAAACCTAATGTAAGCATGAGATGTAAATATGAGATATGGTCTCATCATTTACTGTCAGTATGATGTGAAGCTAATTTTACTTCAAACAGTGTTCGAGACAAAATGTATTATTCCTTCTTGTTGCAAGTACATAGACTATATGTTAATTATCCTATCATGAATCTCCAGGCTCTGCTTTCAAAAGAAAACTAATTATTTCATCCTGCTACATGAGGCTGCACACATAGTTTTGTCTGGACAGCACAGTTACCTCAACCAAACCAAGCATAATAGCTCTTTTTGAGAGAAACACTGTGTATCTTGTTACAGGTTGATGCTGATGCTCTGCTTCTGTTTCTTTCCCAGGATGATCCTCTCACTAATCTAAACACAGCTTTTGATGTGGCTGAGAAATATCTAGATATTCCGAAGATGCTGGACGCGGAAGGTAAAGTAGAACCCAATGGCTTTTAACTTGCTTTTTCTCAAGAAATTTTCCACTTCTCCTAGGTGGACTTCTTTTGTACAAGAATTCAGTAACCTCTAAATGCTCTCTCCATGACCACATAGTAAATGTATAGGGAAAAAACTACAATGGAATAATGAGTCACATGTTCTGCTTCCCTTTTCCTCCTGTGCCACTCAGTCTTTTGAGTCTGGCATGGAGATATTAACCTGGGATTGATGTGCTGGGCAGAGATGAGTAACACCTGGCTATGTCATCCGCTAACTGAAGTGTTCCCTTTCAAGAATCAGGCCAAATAAGGAGTTAATGTACGGTGTAGGACTGTGTTCCTTTTGCTCCAGATTTTTTTTCTGGACTCTTTCTACATTGCTGGTGCTCTTCCTTTTGAGGGCATGATATTATTATTATTATTATAAACTGCTTCTTCTTGACTACTCGGAAGTGTTTGGCATGAAAATCTTTCACTGACTAGGCCTGGAGACCAAGGCAGAGTTCCATGTTGTTCAGAAATGCTTTTCCTACTGATTATGACTGCTTCCCTGGGCCACTGGGACAGCAAGGATTACTTTTCAGAGCCTTGTCAGGACTAGCTTGGCAGTAGATTTTGAAGATTGTAACTCTGGAGTACAAACAACGGACTGAAATAGGTCACTGGTTGTTGGCTGTTTGCCTAAAGCCCTCTTGGGTTGGACAGGAGAAGCAGTTAAAGACTTTTGTTAAATAAAGGAGTGAGAGGAGCAAAGAGGAAAGGTGGGAATAACACAGCCAAACCTAGTGAACCTATATTTCAGTAACTAAGATGTTCATATTTCTAGGTAGTACTTCCCATCCCTAGAGATGAGTCTTGCTTTCCCTGCATTCATCATGCTGAGGTAAAAAATCATGAGGTTTCCAGAGCAGATTCAAATGTTTCCTTGCTATTCTGTAGGAAATAAAGCCACCTTCAAAATAAGTGGATCTCAGCAAAGCTAGCAGCGATGAAGAAGGACTCTGGCAGGAGCTCTCATTGCTCTTTACTGATCACTCTCCTCCCTCACCGAGTCCAGATTATGTGCATACCTCCACACCATTAATTCTGATCTCTGGAGGTGTTGAGTTTCCCCTGAAACTAATGAAAGAGCCATTTGAAATTCAAGCTGTCACTGTGTTGAAATGGATGTCGGGGGCATGGAAAGGAAGGGAGAAAGGATCTTTCCCAAAGAACAGAAGTGCATGGAAGAATTGCAGTCTAATACGTCTATAAAAGTCATGTCAACCTGCTGCCAGTTTGGATTGATTCAATCCACCATTCACAGAAACGTTCGTGGGACAGGGAAGTGCTGTGACACAAGACATGCTGACATATGGCCGCATTAGCCTGGTCAGACCCTGGAAGAAAGTCTGTCATGAGGGAGGGGAACCAGAAGGGTGATTCTGGTTTCTGGGGAATGCTGGGAAGCCCTGTGGAGTCGCTGTGACAAGCATATACCCCAGCAGGCCTCCTGGACAATTGTGGTTCTACCTCTCCTTTGCTTTCCTCCCATCAGCTGATTATGCTCTTAACGTGAGGTTTTTTTTGACAGACATTGTTGGAACTGCCCGTCCTGATGAGAAAGCCATCATGACCTATGTTTCTAGCTTCTACCACGCCTTCTCAGGAGCCCAGAAGGTATCGCAGGATCCCAAGCTCCCTCCACAGAGCACACCTGGTGCCGTTGCTAATGTCCAAACCTTTTTTTCTTTCTCTCTCCTCTCTAGCTACGGGCATCTTTATTATTATGTTCTTGGTAGAGTTGGCTGTTGGTTCAAAGTGGTGCCCCAGATATAATACATGGGGCAGGGGAGCCAGGAGTCCCATTTTCTTAAAGTCAGCAGTACTTCCAGTGGCACTTAGGTATGCCACATTTTGGCATGCACACAAATTTAAGGGAGTGGGGAGCTACGCCTTCTCCATTTGCCTTATGAACTGCTGTCCTGGTGGCTGAGAACCTGTACCTCCTGTTTCTGGTAAATCCGAGCTAGGATGCTTGGTCTCACAAAAAATGGAGACCACCACATAGATGCTTTGCCCAGCAGGAAACTGCAGCCTGCCCCCACAGGAAACAATACAGCTACTTATTCACTTTTTTTTTTTTTTTCCTTTTCCAAAGATGGAGAAACTTAGTGGTTTTATGAAGGGTTTAATGAATACCCAAAGCTTTATCTTTTGCCTTACATATGCTGAAGGTTCCCGCACCCTTGCTTCAAGGTCTGAACCTGCTGTTTTCTCAAGTTGTGCCATAAATTCAGTCCCAGTTCACCTGGGGCTGACAAAGCATGTCTAACGAGTACATCCATGGTGATTTTGCAAACAGAGAATTGCTTATCATGATGGAGATGCCTGGTTTTTTATATTTGTTTCTTTTTTCTCTCCTTTCTCACCTACCATGTTGGAAATTGGGCAGTTAAGTCCTTGCTGCTTCTGTCTTAGCCCTTTTCCTGTTGGTAACGGAATCACTTAAGGAAAACAGTTTGTGGGTGAAACCTTGTACACGTCTCTTGCCAAAACCAAGCAGCCGCCTGTACTTGAGTGCCTTAGGAACAGGCAGTGCACGTCAGCAGAGCAGCTACTGTGTAGGAAGTGCACTGTGTAGGAAGGCTCTGATCTCCAGCTCCTCGGCATACAGAAGGGCCTTGAGCGCGGGCGTTCAGACCTCCAAACAACCTGTTTGCATCTTTGGGCCAGACCACAGCTGGGAACGTGCAGAGCCCAGATCCTCATCTCAGGATCCCCCTGGATTGGTGGGGAGGGAGGGGTGCCGCTTTGAGCCACAAGCCAACACTGCTAGCCATCTTCTGATCCGAATTCCCGGCTCTCCGCATGGAAATCTGTTTGGCCTGTCCTGCAATGCATGATGGGAAGTTTTCTCCCCCTCTCTCACGCCACCCATGATTGTTTTGTTTTATCCTATGTGCTGCTTCTTACTTTATCCTTTCAACCTCTTTTCCTTCTCTGCACAGATATTATAGGCACGCTAAGGCCGGATGAGAAGGCCATAATGACCTATGTCTCATGTTACTACCACGCCTTCTCAGGGGCGCAGAAGGTGAGACTTTACTGCTAACAACCCCTCCCCTCACCCTGCCCTGCCCACCGCTCCTCTCCACTGAGGAATGCGCCAGACCCCCTGTCCGCCCCAGGGCATTTGCAGGGAAGCCCAATGCATCCAGCTATGCACTTGGATGTGCCATCTGTAGTCTTGTTAGAGAAGTGATATAAATGTCCTTTCAGACAGACTTAAGTTGCTCCTTCCCTCCAGTTTCACACTCCAGCAGAGGAGAAATCATTTAGTAAAGCTAGCATTGAAAAATGAATGGATGTCTGTTCTGACAGAGGCAGCACCCTTTCAGTAACTAGTGCGCATTGTCTTGGCCAGGCAACGTGCATCCAAAAGTATCACAATCAAATCCACCTACTCCGGGAAATGACAACCTGTTCTTGGGCTACCATCCTGCCTCCCACACCCAGCCTCCACTAGGTCAGTGGTCTTTTCCTAGGCTGAATCATCCACGAGCTGATTACATAGCACTTTTGTGCTCCAGCCACAAAGTTCATTTCTACCAGGTCTTGAGCTTTCCCAGACTCGCATGCTTCTCCATTCCTTGTTTCTCCCTAGTCATTCTCCTCTGTTTCCCAAACGACTTACGTGTTATATTTCTCTTTCCTCTGCCTTGCCCAATTCTATAGCTTCAGGCCTTCCTTCCTTCTTCTCCTTCCTCTTTACTCCGAAGTCTCTTTACCTGACATCAAGACACTAGGAACCACATAGTCACACATTTCCCTTGGAAAAACTTCCTCCAGAACAGCAATTTACCTGCAATCCTTTGAATGGGAGAAAAAGGTCCATCCTTTCCTCCCGTATCGTAGCCTGCCTGGGCTACAGCCTTTCCACAAGATTACTTCTAATTTCAGATTGTAGGCTTTGGAACAATAAAATCCAAACCCCAAGACTACATTCTTTATGTTATGAACATAATTAAAATCTCACTGTTTCCCCCAGCCACAACTTTTTTCTCTCATTAGGCCTTTTCTGTTTGAGACACAGTCCTTGTGTTGCCCAGCTTGAGGGCTAACCTGACTCCAAGAAGATTCCATCTCTTTTGTACAAAGCAGTGCAGATACCATGCTGGTGCTGGCTTTCAGAGGGCAAATGTAGGTAGTAGGTTCTAGGGAGCAGCTCTTTAATTCAAGCTTTTTGTTCTCTGCCCAGTTTCATATAAATTACGTGATGCTGTCTTGTTTTCAAGGAACTGGTAATATGACCCAGTGCAGTGCAGTAGACTTGCCTGTTTGGCATAATTTGTGTAGTCATGACTTTTCTGCTAGGATCCTGCTTTGTGATCCTGTGGGTTTTTTGTTCAAAACACTTAAGACCAGTCTGCAAGCTCTAGCCAGCTGATACTTGCCCAGGAAGACTGTAGTCTCAGAACTCATGCCAGCCTGATGATGAGACCTGCTATTTGCCAGGTGCCCTTGAGGGACAGCTCCATGCTGTCTGCTTAACCTGAGGGACTCCAGATTGAGGAAACAGAAAACCACAATATGAGGAGGGTTGTAGCCTGCTGCAGGACCAGCTGTGCCCCTCACCAACCCCTTCCTCTTCTCTCTGCATCCATTCCACGATTTGGAAACCTGTTCAGCAACAATTTCATCAGCAATTTAGGTGAATGCTAGGTCTTCTGGGATAGCTGAAAACAACCCCTTACTTGCCTCAGGACCTGAACAAAGTAGCTGGGGCAAGAACTAGAGATGAAGCTTCTTAGTTATTGAAGTTTCAATCCCATGTAGTCAAACCGCTTACAGGGAAGATTTAATAGTTTATTATTTTTTTAGCAGTCCTGATGGGCCAGTAACTCAACTGTGCTGTGGCAGGAGGGGCACAGCTCCTTTTTGGAGCTACCCTAGCCATACATTAACCAGCTGCTAAGTGACAGAAATTCAAACCCCAGGCAAATGCAAAGTGATTACTGAGTACAAACCCCAGTCCAGATATTGCTGTTGCTACCCTCATGCACAATTAGGTGACTTACTGTGATATCACTCCATTTATCATCCAGATTTTTCATTACTGTCACCAGTCCTGAAGGGGAAGTCCCATGAGCTGCTTTCTGCTTCTTTCACTCTCTTATACTGAGCCTTTGAAGGTACAGGGTCCAAAGCCTGACGTGTGTGTAGATGGCTGCTTTTTCTCTCTGCCATTTTTTTTATATATATTTGTAGGTATACTTGCTTTGGTTGGTTTGCTTGTTTTCTAACCGCTTCTGACTTTCACACTAAATGCATGCAACTACTGGTTGGCTTAATATTTTGTAAACTTGATTTCTGGGGTGAAAGTTTCTAACTAATGTTTTACCATTTTATTAAGAGATTGTGTTTGTTGTACAGTATTCTGGAGTGGTCCTCTGAGGCCAGAGGACAGCAGCAGGCAGGCATCTTCCCCTGAGGCCAGAGGACAGCGACAGGCAGGCATCCCTACACAGTGCATTGTGGGAATGTCTTCCTTTGTGATCTGCTTCAGCAGAAAGATTTGGATCCGTGAACTAGAGACACAGCAAACTCCATTCTTATTCTAAGCAGTTCAAGTTATGGTTGAGAAGTACAGAAAAGACAAAAGTCAGATATAATTACTGCTATTTTGGCTGTTCAGTTTTCCATATTGATTCCATCAAACAGCACATGCATATGCACAGCAGAGTGGTTTCAAGCAGAATGTCCTGGGCTTGCCCTCCTCAAAGTCTCTGAGTGCAAGTAGCATAATGTATCAGCATAATGCTGCACTGAAGCTGATCAGCTCACACAGGTTCTCTGAGAATACAGGTATTCCAGACCCTGGGATGCTGCATCTTCTCAGTGCTCCTTCCATGCCTTGTGGGTATCCTGTCCTTTTTGGAGCCAGCATGAGCATCCTAAATGAATTGTTGCCTTTAGCAGTACGGGGAAACCAAAATGGTTTTTTCAACTCCACTAATGAAGCTGTAGGGGGAGCTGCCTTGGCCTCATGTAAACATATTGGTGTGTCACTCTTCTCTTACCTAAAAGTGTTTTACTTCAGTTTTGAGGTTGTCATCACCACAGATCAGCTCATTAACAGCAGTGTGGGATGTATTGGAGAAGGTTACCTGAAAGCACTGGAATCCTTTTGTCCTACCTTGCTCAGAACAAGTCAGTGTTTTGTGTTGCTTGTGGCATTAATGGTAACAGTGGCCACAGAGCCTTTCCCGTGGCTGCAGCAACAGCACACTATTGCATAGAGCAGTAATAAGAGAAGGCAAAAATCATAGGGAGGCAAGTACTGGTAGGAGAGAGAAAGCCTCTACATTTCTGTCATTAGGATAATACAAATAATGTCATAGCTGCTGGCATTCTTAGGGTCTTTGTGTTTGGACAGTTGTTCAACCCGCATATATACACACATATTTAAACTTGGGCAGCTGGAGAAAATCTATTGTCAGATACATATAAATATGCCTCAGCAAAATGGGTTCTCTCTGCACAGCTGGCTGCTGCTGCAGTGAGCCCATGGGGTGCAAAAACAAGGAAGCTAAGAGTTTGCAGTGAACACCTCTCCTGGGATGATTGAGATATTTCGTACTCCCAGTTCCCTGCAGTCACCAGGCATATCATGGTAGGGCTCTGGCAGTGTCTTTTTAACGTACTGTTTGGTCCCACGTCTATAGTTTTCTCTGGATTTCAAAAAGCACTCCATTAAAGTAGAAACTTTAGTAAAAACAGATCGAAGTACAAGCTTTCTTAAATGCAACCATTGTTTACACTTTTTGCAAATTTTTTTTTTAAGTGAAATTGCTCTTTTTCCTGTACAGGTCTCTCTGATGTGTTTTAAATCAGTTGATATCTGTGTATCTCTTAGCTGGTCCACTTTAGTGAAGGGGCATATGACTGATGCTTTTACATCTTCCTACAAATGAATAAGATTGCCATGTCCCCTGGGACCTTAGCAATCCATACATCACTGTACAGCCTATGATTTTATTGCTATTCTTGCTGCTCAACATCAGCTGCAAAAATCTAAGGATTTTTTTCAAACGCCCTTGGAGATTGAATAAACAGATAATAAAAGGTCTTTTAAAAATAGAAAGAGGTTGAAATTTAGCAGCTCTAAGCTCAGCAAAACTTCTTTGGCGTCAGTCCCAAATGTAGTTTTAAGGCAGGACACAGTGTTCACAATTGGTCTGTTGTAGTGCTGACATGTACCCTCTCCTCCTTATTTTCATTTAGCCTCTGTAAGGAGGATTGCTCCATAGGAGTCCTGTGGGTACCTCTAGCACCTTTCCCAGGCACCAGGGCAACAGCTGTACTGTGGTAAGAGGGTGCTGAGCGATCTCCTGACACCCACCACCGGGGCACGTCCTCTGAGGCTTTGTGGCATGGCACACACCATGATAATGATAAAGGGAGCTGATACCCACAGGTATAGGCTGTGCAAGGATCAGCCCGCTCGTATGTTCCTCATACCAAACACATGCATGGCACTCCAGGGCAGTCTGACTGCTTCTGAGTTCATAGCTGGGATTTTTCTGATCCTTACTTTCCAAATTAATGTTTTAATGTGTTCATATACCTGAAGAGAACAAGGTTTTGGTCTCAAGGGAAAGAAAGAAAAAAAAAAAACCCAAACCTAACTAGGAACAATAGGCTCTTTTTTTGGTGAGACTTGTTTTGGAACAGTAAGTGGCAAGATTACCCAGGAAGGGGGGGAAAAATCCTCTTCTCAGATGGATCATGAGACCCTGACTACATGGTAGGTGTCATGTGGCAAGATGCTGGAGGAGGTGGCCCTGTAATGAGTGCCAGAAATACGGGGAAAGCTGGAGGACAGCTCTGTTGGGCAGAATTTAAGATTAAGAGGAGTATCTACCATTTTATCTTCCAAACAAAATTACGAATTTCCAAAAGTCCAGTCCTGTTTAGGTAGATCTTTCCTGGGATAAACATATGGAGACTGTCTCATCAGCTTGACAGCACTCAGTTATTGCAACCAAGTTGCAGCTTGGAATGCTGGTATGAAGAGTGGAGGTGTTGACAGAATCCCCCCATCTTTGTGAAGAGGCAGCCAGGGGCTCTCTGGTAGAAGGCAAACAACAGGGCCCTCTTGTTAGAAGCAGCTTCAGAAAAGGCACAGAAACATTAGTTGTCCCACAACATATAGGGTTGAATCAGTAGAGCTGAGAATCTGTGAAGGAATGTATTCACCTGAGAAGGGAAAAATTAATCATTATAGAAGGTCAGGTGGAAAACAAAGAAGTCAGGACAGACAGGTTGCTAGAGCCAAGGGTAGGAGACTTTACTTGCAGGTACGTAGCAGAAAACTAAGTTGTAAGTTTTGGTTTGTACTTTTTTTCACAGTTTTTTCTTCTTCTGTTTTTCTTCTCTTTGTCAGGCGGAGACAGCAGCAAATAGAATCTGCAAGGTGCTGGCAGTCAACCAAGAAAATGAACAGCTCATGGAAGACTACGAAAAACTGGCCAGTGATGTAGGTGTTGGTTTCTGAGTGGTGGTATGCAGAAAGAAATTGCATTTAATGCCGATAACTAATCTTGGGGAATGCTACTGGCCCGTTGCTATTTTCCCTGGAAAATTATTTTTTCCCCTTCCAGCTTGAGAATAAAGATTGAACTTACCTCAAAGGCAAGAGCAATCTACTTTAAAACAGAAAGCTTCCATAGGGCAGCTTTGTATTTCTCAGTTTATTAGAAGCAGACACAGAAATGCTAAAATTGAACTAATTGAACTAAAATCAAACTGGTTTAACTTTCATTCTTCAGGACTATACAACTTCATTACATGTTTCATACAACTTGTATGCTGATAGAATGTAGAAGTCAGAAATTGGATCAGAGAATTGAAGTTAGAGATAACTGAGGAAAGAAATAGGCATTTGCTGATAATTGCAAAGAATCTGTGTGAGATACAACCTGGAGGCTGCTTTGGTTAACTAAGTTAACCAAAGTTTGGTTCACAGCAGTGAAACTACAGAGAAGATCAAATGTAGACTGGAGTATGTTTGTGGTAGATAAGTAGGAAGGGGAGGGTGGACGACAGAAGGGCAAACATAGCCCATAAGCCTGGTTTCAGCCTCATCTGAAAACCATAGGGCACTGCTCTGCTCAAACTACAGACCACCCATTGCATTAGCATTTTGCCAGCTCCCCAAATAGGTTCACTGAGGAGATCTGTTCAAACAGCAACACTGACTTTGAGAAAGCTAGAGTGTGAAAAGCGTAACCAAAGGCAAGCACTTGATTTCTCCTGTCAGATCCTTCTGGAGATAATATGACTTACAGCATCTTTTAGTTATGCAACCGTCCAGCAAAACTCTGAGGCTTTAGCATAATCTGAGGACATAATTTTGGTCCTGATTGTGCAAAAGCTGTGCCTTAAGCATGTTGTATTGGCACTGCTGCAACAAGCAGTACTACTTAGTGTGGAAGGGAATGGGCTGCTCGTTAAAAAAAAATGTACTTCCAAAAAAGCTGGCAAACTTTTCTTTACAAGCCCTGCTAGTGGCAGAATCTTTCTGACAGCGAACATAAAAGTTAATGGTCCCTAATGAAATCAAAGCAACATTACCACAATTTTCAGTTCAAGACTTCGTCATTGCTCTTTCCAGCTGCTGGAGTGGATTCGTCGCACCATCCCCTGGCTGGAGAACCGGGCCCCAGAGAACACCATGCAAGCCATGCAGCAGAAGCTGGAGGACTTCAGGGACTACCGCCGCCTGCACAAACCCCCCAAGGTCCAAGAGAAGTGCCAACTTGAGATCAATTTCAACACCTTGCAGACCAAGCTGCGACTCAGCAACAGGCCAGCCTTCATGCCTTCAGAAGGGAAAATGGTCTCGGTGAGTGGGGGAAAATGCTCATTTGTACCCCATGCATGCCTGAAAAATGAGACTCTATTTCTGCCTGTGGGTGAACAGAGCATGCCTGCCTTTGGAGTGAGCTGCTCTGTGGGAGGAACTCTACAAAATGTGAGGCCGTGATAAGAGAGGATCAAGTGGTCATTGCTTCCCTGTGTCTAAATCAGACTCTGAGGCTTTTCACAAGTCACATGTCTTTATGAGATGTCTGGGTGCTTCTCATTCTTTCTAAATCAGGAATGTTTGGGGTTCGTTAAAAGTTTCACATAGGGAAGCGTTTAGAGAGACATTTTTCTGCTGACAGTTATATCTTGACACTTTTAGTCCCACTTAATCTTAAGTCTGGCAGTTGATCTCCCTGACCTGTCTGCAGAACACTATGAGATGAAAAGCCCACATTCACTCCCTCCAATCAGTTGGAACCATATAGCTCACTGAAACTCATGCTGGTGAGCATCTTCCTTCCAGCTTCTAACCTACCTTTTCTTCTTGTGCTGTTGTCTCTAGGATATAAACAATGCCTGGGGTGGCCTAGAGCAGGCTGAGAAGGGCTACGAGGAGTGGTTATTGAACGAGATCCGGAGGCTAGAGAGGCTGGATCACCTGGCAGAGAAGTTCCGGCAGAAGGCATCCATTCATGAGTCCTGGACAGATGGTAATGTCAACCTGCATACTTCCTCCGACCTGACACAGTACTATCTGTTATGTAGGGAGGAAGAGATGGATTGTGCATGGGTCCTCTCAAGAAGACTAGGTTTATTTCTTATTTTATTAGAAAATAATGTATGAAAACCAGCTTGATCTCTCTTCTGCATCATGCAGTCAACATTGGCATTCCCTAATGGTGGCAAAGTGAAAACTTTGGATAGAAGAAAGCACTTAGAGGGCCAAGGCAAAGTTACTGTACAGTAAATGCTACAGTTGGCATTTACAGGACCAGCACAGCCCAGTTTGCATATGCTGAGACGAGTCCAGTGTAAACTGTGACAGTGCTAGCTTGAGCTGCACTATGTGTGCTTCTCTGTTTTAAATGGCAAACTTGCAACCCTTGGTTTGAAAGTGAGGATTGTGCTTCTCTAGGCCAGCAGGCACGGGGACGAGCCTTGGGCAGGGTGGCTGTAGTGGGGTAGATGCCTTTTTGAGGCTACCTGGGTGGCAGGGAGCAGGCTTTGGGGAGTTTTGGTCCTGTCCTTCATTCTTCTGTCCTTTGGCTCCCTCCCCAGGTAAGGAAGCAATGCTGCAGCAAAAGGATTATGAAACTGCAACCCTCTCGGAGATAAAGGCCCTGCTGAAGAAACACGAGGCGTTTGAGAGTGACCTGGCTGCACACCAGGACCGCGTGGAACAGATTGCTGCAATTGCACAAGAGCTGAAGTATGGCAACCCAGCACACGTCCTGTCCTTGGGGCCAGGGAGGCTTAATGAGCCTTGCCCTCTGTCCTCTGGAGAGCCATAAATCCATCCCCATGCAAAAATGCTGGGAATTTCCTCTGTTTCCAAACAGTATCTAGGATACTGCTCTCCAGTATCTGGACACACCAGAAAAGCAGGCCAGAAAATGGATGAGTCGTGGGTGCTGTTGAGGAGGTGGCAGAATTATATTCCCAAGCCAAGTTTGCATCCTCTGCCAGCTCATTATGCTGCTGTGAACCCTTTCCTAAAGAGTCTGACCTGCTACTGGCACCTGCTAGGTTTCAGAGTTGTAACACTGTCATACTTTTCCAGGAGCAGAAGGAAAGAGGAGAGGATAGCAGGCTCTCAGTTTGCTCTCTTTTGATAAAAAAATCCTCCTTATTCTAGCAGAAAAAAACCTGCTTGAGGCCATTATGGCCTCACTCTTTGCCTCAGGAGTACTATTACACTGTGTGCCCTTTGTTCTGCACTTGCTCCAGGGCATTCTCCGTACGGCTCAGCTCCCTCCCTGCTTCCTTCCAGCTTGGAAACCTTCACCTCCACTCCTTTTCCTGGAGTAATACAAGTTACCAGGAGAAATGAGGGCTCATCAGTGTGGGACTCTAATAGCTAGAGATAGCAGGCAGGTAAAAACCTGGTCTCTGCAGCACAGGGAGATTCTAAAATCCTGCATTTTTCCTGGAAAAAAAAAAAAAAAAAGGCTTAACAACTTGGTTTTGACTCTGTTTACTCTTTTAAAAAGATTTATATATCACATTGGCCTATCTAAGGTTAGTGTCTGGGCTGAGATCAGTACTCTTGGGCTGAAAAGCTGTTTTTCTCTAAAAATTTAGGATTACTGGATCAAGACTATTATCTCCTTTAACAACACAGATTTACAGAATTGCTCCCTTGTCCACTGGAGGATTGACCTTGGAACAGGAGGAGGGTTCAAGGCAATCCTTCGTGTCAGTAAGATTAGGACTGAGGCTGGCTAGTCAGCAAGCATTACCTGACCTGTCAGTTCAAAGAGACATGCTACATGTTGGCCAAAGGAGCTGCGGTTCTAAGAGCAACAGGGAAGACAGAGGCCTAAGCTGTGAGAGAGGTTACAAGGTACATCTTCCGAAGTGTGAGAACAGCAGGCTCTGCCATTCTTACAAAAGGTGTCTTCCATTTCAGCAAAGAGGCCATGCCCTGAAAAACCATGGCAAAGGTCTTTTCTTCCCCAGAGATACAGTGCCAGATTGATGCAGAGAGTCTGGAGGAAGCCACTGCAGCTCCCAGTGCCAGGCACATTTGGGGGCATGGCATGTTCCCCTCCCCAGCAGTAGTGATCTAGCATGGGCGTGTTGCAAGTCAGACTTTCAGAAGGAGTTCTTTCATCTGCAGTGCTGCTCTGCAGCAAAGTAGATCAAGCAACTGATCTGGATTAAAAACCTACCAAAGAAGTTATTTTTAGCCCAAATCAGTTTCCTGACTAGTTTACTGGAGGACTCTACCAACAGGGGTGCCCACACACCTCAGAAGGGCAATACAATGGCATGAAGAAACAAGGCTGGGGAAGGCAAGAGTATAACCTGCATTACTGTTTAGGAAAATGCTCATCAGATGGCCCAGGGTCACTCAGTATCCCAGTGATTTATTCTGGTTTTTCTTTCAAGGCTGACACTTCCCAGCTCCCTCTGCCTGCAGATTTCTCCCTCTTTGACCATGTGCAGAACCATGAGCACAAAGCAGTGCAAGACCACATGCTTCAGCTTGCCCCTGTACTCTCCTTTTCCCAACCATACTTTTACCAACCTGTCTTCTGTGAGTGCCAGCCTATAGCTACGTCAGCAAAGCACTCTCTGTCAGGCATATAGGAGAGACTTACACTTTTATTTAGAGATTGTCCTAAATAAATTTATTGAATTGTGTGAATAATAATTTTTTGCCACCTTTGCTATGCAAATCTTATAACAATCTTAGAAGTTTCCTAGCATTCCTAATAAAATCTTTGCTTTCCATTCTGATGTACAAGATGCTGGTGGTTAGCCTGCATAATGTTCTTAAGCAGCATGCAGGAGCAGATTGCTCTGCTCATAATCTGCTTATTCCCCGTTAGAGCAAAAGTCTGTACTCCCTTCCCCCAGTGCCAGGTTATTCCCATCAGGTAGCCAGCCTCAGTACTTGCTGAGGTCCTGGGTAGTCCTGTTCTGTGCTGTATGATGTATTATAACATACAGTGTCTCCAAAACTAAATACTGATATCTTCCTGACTCGCTTTATTTGCACACACTATGAACATTGTGTCTGAATCTGTCCTCAAGACTGATCAAGATTTTTAATGGGTTTCCCTTTTTTCTCCACAAGATCTTTATTTGACTTATTGTCATTTTTTCTTTCCCCCACCTGTTATAGTGAGCTGGACTATTATGACTCTCCCAGCGTCAATGCCAGGTGCCAGAAGATCTGTGATCAGTGGGATAATCTGGGTGCCCTAACCCAGAAACGTAGAGAAGCCTTGGAGGTGAGACATATTACAAGTTGAACCTTTGGGATTATGTGGGTAGGTCATTTGTGGGCAGCAAGCCGACATGGCTACAAGTAATTTCAGCTCACTTGTGAACATCCTGGACTGTAAACAAGGGCTACATTTGAGTATATTTAGGCTGGTTTTCTTCCAGCCCAATTATGGTGCCATTTGTTTGCTCAGGCTATTGATTTATTTCTACTTTTTTTGTGTGTTTTGTCATCTCACTCTGCTTGAAAAGACTGCCTTTATTTTGTTTTAGTTCAAAGAATCTCAGATTTATTTTATTTCTCTCTCAGGAAAAAATCTGTCCTGTGTGTAATCTCTTATAGCAGAGAGATTTTTACTGTAGTGCTATCCTGGGA